ATTTGAGAGAGAAGAGAAAATATTTGAGAGAGAGCGCATGTTTTGAGTGTGAGCATTATAAGTTTTGAGTGCAAGAAGATGAAATTTTTTTCTCAAATTGAAATTATGTGCTCTTGCATTATGGCAGGATAATTCTCCCATAGATCAGACGCAAAATCGGATTTGCTTTTCTGGCCTTTAGTGTCATGCTACGTTCTGACCCATCGCGGTTGAAGCAGCGGGTTTACATGCAAACTCTATGGTTGAAACATATCAAAAGGTCCAGCAGCACGTCTCAAGCAGCAGGAGAAGAGCATCTTAAAGCATCTGACCAGCCGAAGCAGCGCCTCATGAGTTTCTGAAGGGCGCGATACGCTTCACAAGCAGCAGATGCTGGAGTTGGAAAAATTGAACTTTTGCTGCTCGACGCGCCACATCAACCAATCAGAGAAGCTGATGTGGGAGCTGGCAGGGAGACAGAAAGCACTGCTGATGCAGATCGCTATGATCACTCCTCTGAAACAGTTTATTAACGACTAAATTATAAATGTTCCAATTTATTATTCTGGTGCCTGCAGTTTGAACCACATACCTGAAAATGCTAACATCTACTTCCATTCGTCACAATCTGTAAAGGAAACACCTAAAAACCAGCTGTTGCTGGATTCCCAGTGACAGCGCACCTTCGGTATGAGGTCTGCTCCGCTCAGACAGCAAAATAATATTTAAAGGCTGGATCATAATCTTGATGAACTGACTGCACAGATGATGTTTTGAGGTGGACTTTCTCACTTAAAAATACATTAAAACTATATTTTACCCACTGATTACAGCAAATATAGCAAAGCCGCTCTCTGTCATTGAACACTGGAGCAGTAGAAGCATCACACACATCTGGACACACTTTACTGGATGCGCTTTAGGAGCATGAATGATGCTCTGGAGCAGTGTTGGGTAAGTTACTTTAAAAATGTAATCCATTACAGTTACAAGTTACCTTGTTTAAAATGTAATTGTAGTGTAACTTTTTCGATTACTTTTAAAAAGTAATGTAACTAATTACTTTTGATTACTTTTTAAATACTTTAAGGTTTTAATGAGTATTGACCCATGTTCAACATTTAATTTTTGAGAACTGAATGTGAACCTTAAAAAAGCACTAAGCTGAGAGGGAACAGGCAATAACAGGATGTCCACAAGAAGAGATGCCAGCACCAGGCATGGAAGATTTTCTCAG